GATGAATATGTTGGTTGATGGATGGATAGGTGGATGGCATATCTTATGATGATATGTCAATAGACTTGGCCAACAAGCATCAGCTGGGCTCCTACCACGTGCCAGGGAATTTGATAGGACCAAAAATAATTTTGAGAAATGAAACCAAACTTCAGCTTGGAAGATAAAAGCAGCCTAATTTAGCTCCCAATTAGTTACTTTGAAAGCCTGATGACAATGAGGAATTTGAAGGAAGTCCAATGTTCCTCAAATCCATCAGTCTACAAAAAAATCTTTTCATGAGTCCTATGCATGTAGGGTGTAAAATGGAATGTTCCTTAGATGTTCCTATCTAGGTGTACTTAGCTCATCATAACACCCACCAGCCAAAAATCATCAAAGGGAAGAAGAAAGAGCAAATGAGTCTCCACTGCCTAAATAACGAATGATGTTCAAGCCATGAATAAAAGTGTTGACGTTCCTCTGGTCAAGGGGCATTGCTCGCCTGCCTCTGCTGGAAGCGAGCCGAGATACTTTTTTACTTCCAACCTTCTACTTATGGTTCTCCATGGCATTCTGAACAAATTCCCAGTGCTTTAGCATGCCATACAAAGGTCCCCGTGATCAGTTAGAGCCCCCCACAGACTTATCCAGCTCCTCAACAAGCTGCGTCCAGCTTTTCCTGGTAACTCCTCTGATCACAAAGCTTTCTGTCCTATCTCCCACTTGTTCTCCAATGTGCCCCAGAAGGGCTTCCCAGATATTCTACATTGAGCTAGGAGCTCCTTATTTGCTTTTGCAACACCTCACATTCTCCAGCTCTCATTTAGCCATTGATGTGCCTATGTCTATGAATTATAAAAACTGTTGGTCAGAGGGTAGAATGGCACTGGGCATTTAGTTCTTCATCTGCAGGACTCACTAGAAGGCCCCACACACAAGAGGCTTTCAATTGACAGTCATGGAGCTGGGAAAATGCTTTTCTTGGTCTGGCGGGATGGCTTAGTTGGTAAAGGGCTTGCCTTAAAAATGCCAGAAGAAAACAGGAAACAACCTCGGAACCTGCCACAGAGGGCCTCTGAAAGCCTCTGCTGTGCAGACTGTCAAAGCAGATGCTGAGCCTGATGGCCAACTGATGGGCAGAGTGAATGGAATTTTATGTAAGAAGTGGGAAATAGTAAGAGCTGGAGAGGACAGGAACTCCACAAGGAGAACAACAGAACAAGAAAATTTGAACACAGGGAACTTCCCAGAGACTCATACTCCAACCAAGGACTATCCGTGGAGATAACCGAGAACCCTGACAATGCAGCCACTTCTGATGAGAACTGATAGACTAAGATAAGAAAGAAGGAGAGGAGGACTTCCCCTATCAGTGGACTTGGGGAGGGGCATGCATGCAGAAAGGGGGGAGGGTGGGACCAGGAGGGGAAGAGGGAGGGGCTTATGGGGGGATACAAAATGAATAAAGTGTAATTAATAAAAGTTAAATAAAAAAATAAAAAAATGCAAGCATCTGAGTTTGACCCTCAAAACCTGTGTAAAAATGCCAGGCTAATGGAGCATTTGAAATCCCAGCACTGGGGAGGCAGAGAGCACTGGATCCCTGAGACTTGCTTGCCAGCTAGCCCAGCCTATTTGACTAGGATAGTGAGAGGTGGATGGCATTCCTGAGAAAAGACATAAAGGTTGTTCTCTGGCCTCCACACATGTGTACACGCACCCATTCACACATATACATATGCCTCCCGGTACACATGCACAAAGGAAAGTGCCTTTCTAGCAAACTATCATAGACACTACAAATGTCTCAACATTACATATTGAGGGCTTTCTCCACATCATTAGCTTGTTGCTAAGAACATGGTGTTTAAAAATAATTGTTATCATAATTTATGGGTAGGTATATGCCATCTGTGTATGGGAGCCCCTGTAGGCCAGAAGAGGGTGCACAATGCCTTGGAACTAGAGTTACAGGCAGTTCTGAGTTACCCGATGTGGATGCTAGGAACCAAGCTTGCTTCTTCTGGAAGAACATTGAGAGTGCGTAACTACTGAGCTGTCCAGCCCCAAGAGTATGACTTTCAGTGATGTAGATGGCCCATGGGATGAATGCATAACACTACTCATCATTTCCCATTTTCTCAGATTGTCCATGCACTCTGGTCTCTCCTTTGTGGTCACTTCTGTACTACAGAGGTCAAAGGTGGACATATGACCCACTAGACAAGTCTCTCTTTTAGGACTTTGTAGTGTCCTTTTTCTCCTTAAATGTTTTCCTTTCTTTATCTGCTTTTTTGATGAAGTAAATGAAGTAAATGAAGTTAGAGAACTCTTCCATGTTTTCTTGTTCAAATGCTTCACTGTGTCACACTGTTTCTATGGAGTATCTGTGAAGGATCTGCCACCATGGTTCCTTTCTCTCTCTCTCTCTCTCTCTCTCTCTCTCTCTCTTTGTTCATTCATCAGTGCTGCTGTAACAAACACACCAAGGGTAGCGTTGGTTCCATGGATGTGACACAGGTCCCTAGTGACTTGCCCCTTCATCCTCTCCTTAAACCCAGCTCAGAATCCTCCTGGGTTTGCATTTTCTCTGCCCTCTCTCTGCTGCTCTTCTTCATTTTCTCCTTCTTTCCCTCTTCTTTGGCAACTGCTAGGGTCAAAGCTATCTCTGTCTTCCATCTTGATTGAAGAAACAATATAGCCCTGTAAATGGCATTCCACATGCCTGCGAGTCTCCTTGTCTATTTTCTACGTGGCCTTATAGTGATCTTACTAAAGTGCTACGGTACTCCCTTGATTAAAACCCTTCAATGTTATATTATTTTAAGGAGGACCCTAGGGAGAATGCTTAAATCTTATTCAGAATGGCAAATAGGATAAACATCAGAAGTGATAGAAAAGAGGAAACAGGATGGGAGCCTACTATAGAGAGTCCTCTGAAAAGCTCTACCCAACAGGGGATTGAATTAGATGTTGAGACTCACAACCAAACTTTGGACAGAGTACAGGGAGTTTTATAGAAGAATGAGGTAGGGAATAGAAGGACATGGAGGGGGACTGGAGCACCACAAGGAGACCAACAAAACTAAAAATTCTGAGCCCAGGTGGTCCTGCAGAGAATGATACACCAACCAAGGATCACGCATGGAGAAGACCCAGATCTCCTGCTCAGATGTAGACCATAGGGAGCTCAGTCTCCTTGGGGCTGCCTCTATCATGAACTCAGTTGCCTGCTCTTTGATCACTTGCCTCTCATGCAGCCAAGTCACAGAGTAAGAAGATCCAGGCTGTCCTGATGAGACTTGATAAGCTATGGTCAGATGGCAGGGGAGGAGAACTCCCCCTTTCAGTGGACTAGGTGAAGGGGATAGGGGGAGAAGAGAGAGGAAGGGTAGGACTGGGAGGAGTTTAGGAAGGGGCTTCAAGGGGTATATATAATGAATAAATTGTAAAAAATAGAAATTAAAATTAAAAAGGATTAAGACAAAATTGTACATGTCCTACAAGTCCAACACCTTCTCTTCACTCACCATCTCAGGCTTGGCTAATGGTGTTCTTGTCTTCCTATCTCTGCTTCAACTTTAATTTTCTGGACCTAGTGTCTTATAGGTACCACAGGCCTTTGCACACATTGCTTCTTTAAGCTGTTCCCATCTTCTCATACCTGTTAACTTTGACCTACCCCTATAGATTAAAATATACTTCCAGGTTCTTTCTTCTTCTAATTTGCTTTCCTACAATATGGCTTTCTTTCTCTCTCTTTTTAAAATAAGTGTGTGTGTGTGTGTGTGTGTGTGTGTGTGTGTGTGTGTGGTGTATGCACATGCTTGTGTGTGTGTGTGTGTGTGCATGTATGTAGAGTCTGAAGAATAGCATTGGTTAGCTTCCTCAGCTAATTTTCATGGTTTTTTGTTTTTGTTTTGCTTATTTGTTTGTTTGTTTGTTTGAGACACAATCGCTCACTAAACCTGGAGATCATCAGTTCAGCCAGATTAGCTTGTCATCAAGCCCACGGGTTGTCCTGTTTTTGCTGCTGGGCAGTAGGATTGCAGACATGTGTCCAGATACACAGCCTTTTAACAGGGTGAAGGCAATCCAAGCTCAAGTCCTAGTGTTTACATAGTAGACACTTTGCCAACTGTGCCATTTCCTCGGCCCCACATCCTTTTCCTTGTTGCATACCAGAGATTTTCAGTTAATAGGCTAATATTTGCCCTCTTCCTCAGACTTTAAACCTCATGAAAGCAGGTATCACATCTGTTTCCTTGTTTATCTCCATTCATCTAGCTAAGCCCTGACAGGTCGCAAATAAATATTAGCTGAATGAGTAATAAACAGATGGGCTATCATTGTTTTGAAGTTAGATCTGTGTAGATTGTGAGGAAGCAGTTTCCTTAGGGAAACCTATGAAAAGAGAATAGAATACACAGGGCTAGAGGGATGGCTCAATGGTTAAAAGCGCTCCTGATAAGGACCGGAATTCAGTTCCCAGCATGCCCAGCGGACCTTTCACCACTACCCCAAACTCCAGCTTCATGGGATCCAATGACCTCTTTTCTTCTAGCACCTGTGCTCATCCACATGCCTGTAGGTCCCCATTTACTTGTGGGCATAAACACTCATAGGCACATACACTCTCGTGGGCACTCTCTCTCTCTCACACATATAAATGCAGAATTGTGTGGATGGGTGGGTGATATGCATTCATATTCTCATATAAGAAGATCATGTAAACCCAGGTCAATGATTTGGTAGTCAAAGGTGTTAAAGAGTTGATTATTAATGCCTAGATACAGGACTGGGGTTCAGAGAATGGGTCACGCTGGTGTATTGGAGCGTGTGTTATTAGCAGTGCTTCCATAGGTCTGAAAAGGTCCACATTTGGAGTCTCTATGTCATGATAAGCAATGGTTATGTGTGTTTATACTCTAATATTGTGCTGACGGCAGCACCCACTCATTGGTTGGAAGCCTCTTTAAGTCCTCCCTAAATGTGTCTTTGTCTTTTCCTCCATCTAGATTTATGGTTAACGTGACGTGGGATGGCAAAGACTTGTCCTTCACTGAGGAAGGCTATCAGGTGCACCCCAGGCTTGTGGTGATTGTGCTGAACAAGGACCGAGAGTGGGAAAAGGTGAGTGTGTACAGAATTCAGGGATGGAGGGAGTGCGGCCTAAGTAGGATGGAAGACACCTTCTCCCAGAGAACTTCCCCTACAGTGAGTTCACTTCCAAAGTCTAGGGCCGTGCTTCCTGAGAACCAGGCAGGTGCAAGAGGAATGCCCGTATAATTTTATGCTGTCCTCAGACTTCAGCAGGGAGGGTTCTGGGCACATTTAGGACAATTTAAAGAAAGTTAAACTCTGCTTACAGAAAAGCAGCAAAAAATGTCTGCTGTAGCAAAGATCAGGCAGTATTCTTGAATTTTAAAGCTTATACCATGTTCACAATTGCCATATTTTGAATGTCCTGTATTTTAATTTACTTAGATTTTTACTTTAAGTAAACTAGTCTTCAAAACTTCAGAGTGCCACTTCTATGGCCGTCTGTAAATCATATTGAGGAGAAGGAACATATAAGTCTCACAAAGCACATGAAAGGATATGCATATTAGCTCTGAAAAGTCAATATGTAAAGAAAAATATCACCCTATATATTGTAAGACACAGGTTGTGCTGCAGAAGAGAGATTTCACAGACTTTACTAAGCTCCCAGGTACACAGTAGTACCTGTCCCAATGGTACACCTTCTTCCTCCATATCCCAATCACTAAATCAGTTCCCATATTATCACATCAAGAGCCCCCAAAAAAGGTCAAGGCCCATGAAACATCATGCAAAAAGAGGCAGAAAAAGTGTAAGAACTAGAAGATGGAGACGAGTACTGTGAAATGCTATCTTCTGAACATGAATCATGACTGTCTTACACATGATTTCCCAGCAGCCGTGGTTGTGTGCATAAGATCTGCACAAGGTCAAGCCAGTTAAAAGTCCAGTTGGATGAGGGAGAGGCTCCCAAGACCCTATTCCTACCCGAGAAGCTGATGGCACTGATGCCTGCTGGGGAAGGGAGAGTCACTTTTCTTCTGGAGTGTGGTCACTAGTAGCTTGCCCATGTCCCAGTGGATAACCCCACACCCCTGCACATAGAGGCAGCAATAATTGGACTTAAGAAATTACAAACAAAAATAAAAATTAAAAAAGACTAAAATAGAAAATGGTGTTGTTGACTAGTGGATATTAGCATCTTGAACTTATCTTTGCTTTGCACATCAAAATCAATAGTGAGAGACCCTACTGAGGAAGAAGGTACAGGGTGTGGTATGGGAGATCACACAGCTAACAGGAATTAGGAGAAAATGCTCTATAAACAGGAGCACAGACTTTGCAAGCTCAGAAAAATATAGACTCCTAGAGGAAAAGGTGACAAGGTAGCTCAGGAAAAATTTGCCTGCTATATTCACCAGCTACAAAATATGTGTTCTTTCAAGATTGTGTGAAAATTTTACCAAGATAGATTGTATTTTGGAATATAAAATGACTCTCATATTTGGAAATATTGAAATAGTGTAGAATGAACTCTCTAAGCACAGTGGTATTCAAATAAAATTCAACAATAAAGATATATCCAGAAAATGCTTGTTTGGAAAGTATGACACACAACATAAATTTTAGGTCAAAGGAGAAATAAAATAGACATTATACAACATTTTGAACAGAATGATAATGAAAATACAACATAGCAAAACTGGAAGGCTAAAGCTGAATATGTGTTAGGAGGGGAATTCATGGCTCCAAATTCATTATAATTAAAGGGCATGTGTGGGTGAATAGATGAATCAACAGTTAAGAGCACTTGCTGTTCTCCAGAGGACCTGAGCCTAGCTTCTAGCACCCATGTTGGGGTGGCCCATAACTGTTTGTAACTCCAGCTCCAGGGGACTGACTGTCTTTCTACTGGCCTCCTTGGGTATCCACTCACACATGCCAAACATCCACAAAGACACAGATAAATGTACATAAATAAAAATAAATAAATATTTTTCTAAAAAAAGGCAAATTGTAAAGTGTATAATTTATCCTGGAGAATAAAAGGAGATATAGTGACATGTCTTGATGATCTCAGCACTGGGAGGCTGAGCCAGAAGGACTATGAGTTCACAGCCATATCAGACTGCAGAGTAAGACCCAGCCCTTGTCTCTCTATCGCTTATGACACACAGAAAGCTAGGAAAAGAACCCAAAAGAAGCAAAATCTATTAAATATAAGATTAAGTCAACAAGGTAGAAGCCAACCTTTAGGAAAATATTAATAAATTTCATAACTCATAGCAACAATGATTACTCAAAAAGGAAAGCACAAATAACATTAAAACACAAAGGCAAGACCACTACAGAAATTACAAATTCTACATAATAAGAAAATCTCATAAAATTCATGCCAATAAATTTGACAGTGTTGATAAAATAGGAAAATACTCCAGAGGAACATGAATTTTCCAAACTGACACAAAAAGAAAGCAGTCATCCGAATTTTCTAGGAATTTGCATGCATAACAGGAAGCCTTCCCCTTTTGTGGTGGGAAAATAATTTATCTGTATTGCTTCCACTTTTTACTGTGGTGTTAAGAAGAAAGTCTTTGTGTCCAGATGGCCTCACTGTGAATTCAATCAAATGTTTAAAAAATAAGTGACACTAGTGTACACAAAGTTTTTCACCATCTTACTAATCAGAGGAAATAATGTTGCCTAAAAGGATAATGCATCATAGATAACGGGTTTGTTTTAGGAATGCAATATTGGCTTCACATTCAAAAAGTAAATTGATGTAATTTACCATATTAACAGGATAAAGCAGAAAATTATATAGTTATTCAACAGATGCAGAAAGCACATTTGACAAACATTACTATCCATCTTGATAAGAAGGACAATTAATTACTTAATCTGATGAAAGTTGCCTATAAAAATACTATAGCTAGTATCTTTTTAAATATAATATTGTTTTCATTCTTTAAGAATTTCATACATGAATACAATGTATTTTGAGCATATAAACCCTTACTCCTCCCTCCTCCCCCAGTTACTACTAGGTCGCCCTACGTGTCTCAACTTCATATCCTGTTTTTATTTTTATTTTTATTTTTAATTTTATTAATTTTTAATTTTAATTTTTATGGCCCATTGAATCTAATTAGTACTGCTCCTATACACATAAGATATGTATATGGGTCAACCTATCAGGGAACTTACCCCAGAAGGAAACTAACTCTTCATGCCCCAGCCATTGATTGGCAGTACATCTTCAGCTAGGGGTGGGGCTCAGGAGCCCCTCACTCATTCATGTTGGGCTGTTGACCAGCTTGACCTTGAGCAAGTCTTGTGCGGGCAACCATAGCTGCAGTGAGGTAGGGAATGCAGTGGACAGGCCATGCCCACAAGACACTCTCCAAATAATACCAGATGGTGAAAATGGATCTGCAAAGGCACAGCGAAGTGCTGATGGATGATGAAGAGAATGTGGTAAGACTTTCTAACAAATGACATTGTGTCCATTCAAGGGCTATATGGAAAATAAAGTACAAAAACTGCTTGAAACAAACTGTAGGGTTGTGTCAAAGCTAAAATCAGAACGTTTCTAGAAGGTGATGAAGGAAGATTTGGAAGACCTCAGATTTCTTTTTTCCCTTTTGTTTTTGATATTAATATAATTACACCATTTCTCCCTTCCCTTAAGTCCTCCAAACTCTAATATAAACATATTATATATATGTATATACATATATATCCTACTTTTCTTTCAAATTCATTGCCTTTTTCATTAATTAATATTGCATGCATATATAATGCATAGTATATATTCCTAAATATTACCTGCTCAGTCTGACAAAGGATTTCTTAAACATCCAGTAAGCATAAAAACTGCAATGTTTCAAAATAACATTTTGCTTACTTATATAAAAATTTAGAAATGAGAAAGACAAAATTCAAATTGGAAGAGATAATACATGTATGTTATAAAGGATACATAATTAGAATATGTAAATTACTCTTACAAAACTAATAAAAATGCTCAACAGTGTTAATAAAAACAGAAATACTGATATACTTCACGGAAGATACTGTTCAAATGTTGATACATTCATGGAAATACTTAGTATCGTTGGCCTTGCAGGGCATATAAACATTCCTGTGTGTTGTGCTAGGTCTTGAACCCAGTTTCTTCTGCATGTTAAGCAAGTGCCCTACCCCTGATTATATGCCATCACAGAGTCATGCAAATTAAAATAATTCCTAAGATTCAGGTTCATACCCACTTAGTGGCATAGAGTCTCATACACTGCAGGTGAGAATCTAAATTACAAACATCAAGGGAAACTGTTTGGCTCAAGCTTTATAAAGAGAAACTCACATAACACACAGAGACCTTATCACTCAGGAGTGCCATCCCTAATCACAAACACTAACATTCAATCACAAACACATGCATCCAAACATTCTTGTGTGTGATAATGTTCATGTAATTTTATTCACACAAAATATCAGACCCAAGGTATGTCCATAAGGAAATGAGTAAATAAAATGTGTTATAGTCACAAAATTGACTGTTTCTTATAATAAGAAAAAAGAAACTATTAATATGTATATTGACGTGGTTAACTAAAAAAACATTATGTTTAACCAAAGGAGACAGAGACAGAATATTATAATGCATTATTTCTTTTATAGGAAGTTCAAAGTGAGGTAAAACTTGTTAGTGAGGTCTGACAGTAGAGCACTGGTTCCTTGTATTAGGGAATTTTCTAGAGTAATGGCACGATTTCTCTTTCTTAATCATTTCTCAGAATGCATCCAGCCACAGTAGTGAGGTCTGTTCACTTATAATGTGTCTTTGTACTTAATTTTAAAATAAAGATCCACAACCTGGGCTACTCGGTACAAGTAACCTACAGATGTTACTGAAGACTCATATGTAATGACCCCTCCAGGTACTAGCATTACCCTGACCAACAATAGTCATCATTTTATGATCACAGATTGCTCTATTTTTTTTCTCTTGATGATTTACAAAACATATGACTGGAAACACTGTTTATTAACTTAACAAATGAATGAGTGCATATTCTGTGCACGAC